TAGTTGGAATAAACAGTGTTAATTTTTTAAAAAATTGCATCATCATCATTATCATCATCATCATTATCATTTTACCACTACAAAAACAGAAACAACAAACAGCAACAGTGTATCAACATTTAAAAAAACCACACCCAAAAAACGAAACAAAACAAACTTAAGAAAAAAACAACAACACCATCCTCTCACGTTTTCGCCGCTTGATGAGCAGGACAGCGATGAGAACAACGACGACAACCACCACGATCACCGCAACAGCGACAGCAACAGCAGTGGTCGGGAAATCAGAGTCCCCACCCCCAAGTGCAGAGGTGGACGGGGTCGCTGTATGGCGAGAAGACAGGGGTCAAATCAAATAATAAGTGCCTGTTCAATCACACGTAAGACATTAATTTTTATTATTTAAAAAAAAAGGGTTTTAGTAAGAGTTTACTACAACACCAAGCACTCAGGCTATAAAGGAAGGCCACGCAAAAGGTGGAACGAGGGTGTCAAGTAAACCCTGAGAAAACATAATATCACAACTGAAAGAGCTGCAGAGTTGGTCTACCTTAGAAAACTGCATTTCCCCTCGACGCTTAAAGGCAACAGAGGATGAAAAAGTAATAGTAATGCAAAGTAACGGCACCTACAACGCAATGGGGTCATATAAGTACCGAAATTCAGAAATGTTACAAGAGGGTACCAAACACATAAAAAAAGATGAAGGAGAGATAAGGACGATAGATGTTTCAAAGGAAAGAAGGAGCAAACCACACAAGAACATCCGACAACCGCCATCTGGCGGCTAAGTGCGTGTGGTGCGAAATCGTTTCGAGCCTAAACTGTATGTGTTTATTGTTGGTTAACAGTCTGGCTTTTTTAACACTGCTTTTGATTTTGTGGACAATGACAGAGATAATTACAGTGGCAATGACAGTGACAATGACAGCGACAATGGCAGTAACAATGACAGTGACAGTGACAATGACAGCGACAATGGCAGTAACAATGACAGTGACAATGACAATGACAGTGACAATGGCAGTAACAATGACATTGACAATGACAATGACAGTGACAATGACAATGACAGTGACAATGGCAGTGACAATGACAGCGACAATGGCAGTAACAATGACATTGACAATGACAATGACAGTGACAATGACAATGACAGTGACAATGGCAATGCCAGTGACAATGACAATGACAATGACAGTGACAATGACAGCAACAATGGCAGTAACAATGACACTGACTATGACACTAACGATGACATTGGCAATGATAGACACAATGGCAGTGAGAATCGCAATGAAATTCAATGGGTGCAATGGAAAACGGAAGTTATCACAAACAGGTAACCGTGAGGGCATCAATTCCAAAAATCTCGAAGATTTATAACTTCTTTTCTTCTTAACGGGTGGTACATGTATATGGTTATTGTTAGTTGAACGGGAAGTCAAACACTAGTGACCAACCAAAAAATAAATAGAAATGCAGCTATGAGTCTTGACACCCTCTCAAATTTCAGTTTGTGATAACACCAATTGTTTTTCTCCACTGAGCCTTTTTTTATTCATCTAGTCTAGCAGGGAAAATGTTGCCCAGGTCTTACCGGAAACAGAACAATGATTACAAAAAAAAAGAGAGAGCTAATGTCTTATTTTAGTTTATGCTATTTGGCTGGAGAAACAGACAGACCTTTATCAGATCTGTATTCGCAATAAGGATAGCCATACTTTTGGAAAAATGTGTTTGTTTTGTACAAGAAAGCAAAATTAAAAGGAGGTTTTAAGTATACACCGAGAGAAATGGCTAGATCTTTTGTTGTGGGAAAAAGTTGGGTTACGTAGTGTTTGTGATTACTGTTTTCGATTCAGCGAGGTTTTTGAGCCAACATTGACAGTCTTGTGTGTTTGTTCAGGAATGATGATGAAGATGATGATGATGATGATGATGCTGATGATGATGGTGAGGAGGAGGAGGAGGAGGAGGAGGGGGAGG